TATAAAAATATAAACGTTGACATTCGTACTCACAAAGTTAAAAGTTAATATGGAGATACCACCTCACACTCACTCGGATGGTGATCATGAGTAAAATGGAAAATAACAAGTGTTGACAAGGATGTGGAGAAAGTGGCACCTCCTTCGTTACTTGTGGGAATGTAAAATGGCGCAGTCGCTGTAGAAAATAGTTTGGCAGCTCCCCAGAAAGTGAAACGTAGAATTCCCACATGATCCAGTAATTCCACTCCTAGGTATATACCCAAGAGACGTGAAAGCAGGGACTCAAACAGATACTTGTACACCAGTGTTCACTGCATTACTATTCACAGCAGCCAAAAGGTGGAAACAACCCAAATGTCCATCAACAGATGAGTGGATTAAAAAAAAAAAAAGCAGTCTATCTATATAATGGAATATTCTTCAGCCACAAAGAGAAATGGAGTGCTGATACTCGCTACAACATGGATGAGCCTTGTAAACATTACGCTGTGTGAAAGAAGCCAGATACCAAAGGACAAATACTGTATGGTCCCACTTATCTGAAATATCTAGACTAGGCAAACGTATAGAGACCAAAGTTTATTAGTGGTTACAAGAGTCTGGGGTGAAAGCGGGGAGAGGAATGGAGAACTATTGTTCAAGGAGCACTGAGTTTCTGTTTAGGGTAATGAAAAACATTTGGCAATGGATAATAGTAAAGGAGCCCTGGTGGCGGAGAGGTTAAAGCAATGGACTGCAAACTGAAAGGTCAGCGGTTCAAAACCACAAGTCTCTCTGTTGAGATTTAAAGCCTCGGAAGCCCTATGCGGTTGCTATGAGTTGGAATTTACTTGATGGCAGTGGATTTTTTTGGATGGTTGTACAACATGATGAAGGCAGTTAACTTCAGTGAATTCTACACTTAGAAATGGTTAAAATGGGTTGTTATGTATATTTTTTCCACAATAAATTTTAAAAAGAAAAAAGTTAACATTATGAAATGCAATGCTTGTGCATGTCTACAAATGTTGGTGGGGGCTCACCCACAGCCTGCAGCCCCACATTCCACTGCCTGAGCACATCTGTCAGAAAGAAGGCTGAAGCCCAATATGACCTCATCTTAACTTGCTTACAGCTGCAAAGACACTATTTCCAAATAAGGTCACATTCACAGGTACTGAGGGCTAGGACTTTAACATATTTCGGGGTGGGGGGACACAATTAAACTCAATACAGGAAGTTAAATTTACATTCCACTGGGATCAACGATCAATGCCCATGGAAGCAGCAGTCAAGAAATCAAGCCATCTAAGATGCATCGATCGGTCCCAACCCACCTGGAGTAAAGGAGAATGAAGATCACCAAAGTCACAAGGAAAGTATTAGCCCAAGAGACAGAAAGGGCCACATAA